ATAAGGCCTTTTAGTTTTATCATTTGAATTGTTTCACATTTTTCATGTGAATAAAAAAAACCTGAATTTTGCTCAAGGTGCTATCTTTTGATTATGAAGAAGCTTTAGTCCAAGTTTTGTATAATTCCGAAACAAGATTTGACATGGCTACTCAAGTTTAGAATCTTTAACCAAAAAGTCTATCTAGATATTAACTGCAATAAACTAAGTTCATTTATCAATAAAATATACGAAAACGGAAAAAAATACTTTTATTTTTTGGCTGCAGATAATTGATCATGTAGAAACTTCTGCTCCGAGTTTCATAAAATTCATGAAGTTTTGACAAAGTTTTTGATGTCTAAATACTGGTAACTCATATTGGGCCAGTTAAGATATAAAGGAGATAGTGGATATGCGTAGAGGTTCATTACTAGGACTATGTAAAGAACTTGTAGCGTACGGCATTGAGAAAGAACTAAAAACTAAAATAACTAAAAAACGTTTAGACTAACGAAAAATCTACAACATGTCAGTTGGACAAAGGCTTTGAATCAATCTACATAAAAATGTGCATTTACATAAGTAACTGTGGTTGCAAATTTACCACTCTTTCGTCCTTTTCTAGAATGAGGACTTATATAGAGTGGTGAAATTAAATGTTCACTTCACTATATCTTTGCAATTTTCTAAGATGAAGGGGTCGTGATGTCCGAGTGTTTAAATAGGTTATCTACGGTATAATAACTAGTCTGTCAACACTGATGTTGTGAGTTTGAACCCTGCAAGTGGCAGGTATTTTCGATTTTAATCTTAAATGACTAGGATTGTCAGTTTTTCCTCCGAAAGTCAGTTGTTCTCTCCGTGCACTTCGGCTTCCTCCACTAATAAAAACTGGCCGCCACGATATAGCCAATATTGTTTAAAGAGGCGTTATACACCAACAAACAATCAATCAATCAACAGAAGGTGTGCTACAATACAAAGTCACTTCACCTAAGAAGCATGCGTTTAATTGTTTGATTAAAAAAAAGGTTTTATCGGAGGGTTTGGTATAACCCATAACTTCTTTTCATTCAAATATAGCTTTATCATATTATTAACATTTGTGAAACTTGAGATATCATTTTTATTGATGTGTCAAACATTATACGTTGTGCACTGTTAGCTACCCAGGATATGCGGTTTTTTTTTTGTAGTCTTTGTTAGCGTTTTATTTTGAAAGTCAAACTACAAACCAATATATATATTAACATCCTTTCCAATGCATAAACAAGAAATTGTGTAGGAGGTTATTAATTTCTCCACTATTTTTTTTTCTTTAGTGGCATATGCTAACACAATCAGTTTTTACATGCATGTGAGTCAATCTTTAGATGATATTATTCTTTCACTCTATTGCAAAATACATTTATGTAATCAGTTGTACATGAACGAGAAACTGAGAAGTGTAAAATGTTACGTTTCTTATACTCGTACTTTCAGGGGTTACAAGCACTTTAATACGGCATGATTTATCACCATTTGCTTTAACCCATGGTATATACTGGTATTATATTTATACGTTCTTCCCCATGTACCTTATGTTATTCTGTAGAACGAGACTCTGATGAACGAGATTAATAATTGCGATCTGATAAAGCTAGTTTTACATGTTTAGTGGTCGTCTTAAGTATATTTTTAATGTTTTGTGTTCTTAAGTAAAATTGGTGTCAATGGCAGTTTTAATTTATTCAAAACAATTCTAGTCGCCTGGCGATTTAGATCATCTAAGGTATTATTTAGAAATTTGTCTAATATCAAAATAAGGAGATGTGGTATGATTGCCATTGAGACAACTACCGTATAGCCTTCAACAACAAGAAAAACTCTGTTGATACCGTTTTGTTTGTTTGTTTATGTCGTTGAATATGCCGTCTCATTTAGGTATACCATATATTTTTACTTTTTCATATTTAGAAAAACTTATCTTTTATAATTATATGCAAAAAGAAAATATTTTTATTTAGATCTAGCTGAACTTATTAAACTTTGAGTGTATATATTTTTAAGTTCCTCACCAAGGACAAAATGCATTCATAAACGTATATTGAGGCAGGTTAAGGAATATTTTGCTTTTGAGTTTATCTCACCATTTCCCCTTTTTACTCTTGAGCACCAAAAATCCTGTTATAATCATTCACTGACGGATGAGCCGGGGAAGGGGGCTTATATATTTAGGACATTCTTATACTGATTACAAGTTCAGTGACACCTTTTTCCAATAAACATTACCACATAAATATCAAGTTTCATTTAATGATAATATAATATTTAACAAGAAATAAAAACTATAAATAGCTACCGATATTTGGTTCCTCGTAGATTTCGCAATCATATATTACAGAAAATCATGACTGCGTGTACTAGAATTACATGTATTGATTTACTTTAATATGTTAAACACCATTTTCGGAAATACATCTGTAACAGGTAAATCTTTATAAATCTTAATGAATACAATTTTATATTTGCCTTGGTGGTTTCGAATTTTCCGATCAATAAATGGCGACATAATGTGCAGTAATCGTCCTTCACAGTTCATACACGATATTACCTTTTTATGATTAATGTGAAAACATTGGTATCTATTTACAATTTTTATTTCTTGGTTTACTGTTGAGTGTCATTTCGTGCAATTCAAATATTACATCATATTGAACAATTCATATATTAGGCTACCAAAGTAGATTGGTACACAAATTTGAACGTACGCAAGTAGGCATCTTTGCAGAATCATTCTTTCAATTCCTCGCACTAAAGTACTAAATCATTCAAAGTTTGGTGACTATGTTGAATCAAACTTAACAGATACAGTTAAGTTTGCCTCATATCTTTACATACATCTTGAAATTGACAATGAGGGTCGGCTGAAAACAATACTTTACGACAAAAGAGGTGATTTCAACTTCCTACTTGTGAACTTTTCATTCCTACGTAAAAACCTTCCTTCAGCGCCTGCATAATGAAGTATATATCTCCCATTTAATACGATAATATAGAGCTTGCAGTTCATATCATGATTTCCTTGATAGAGGGTTGCTGCTTACAAGGAAGCTATCAAACCAATGGTTCCAAATGACAAAGATGAAGTCATTCCTTCCACAATTTTATGGACGCATTCACGAGTCGGTTGACCGATATGGAATATGTATTTCACAGATAACAACGGATATTTTCTAATTGTCAGAACCACAATCCCGTCCTCTTATTCTTAAATGTGACATCAACGAATTAAACTTGTTACCGAGTTTGTACCTATATGAGTAACACGACGGGTACCACACGTGTAGCAGGATCTTCTTACCCTTCTGAAGCACCTGAGATCGCCTACGGATTTTGGTGTGGTTTGTGTTGCTCAGTCATTGGTTTCTGTGTTGTGTTTTGTATACTGTTGTTTGTCTTGTTTTTTTTTCTCGTTTTGTTGCCATGGAGTTGTCAGTTCGTCATCGACATGAGTTTGAATATCCCTGCGGTATCTTCCATGATATGCAGCCAACTAACTGTTACCTACGGGAAGCTCTCTATCTGCATTGCTTGTTTTCAATAGTATTTCGTTAACACTTCTGATATTTCCAAGAAATTCATTTTGAATTTTAAAAGGTTTATACTAAGCACAATCATGTCTAACAAAATGTTTTAAAATTATGGTTTTTTGCATAAATCAAGCCATTGATTTTTTTTCTCGTTTGAAATATATCACACTTATGCATGCTCGGTACTTTATAGATCATTATACGGTGTTGGTTTTGTTAAATTGCAAAAGACCCGTCTACTAGTATATCTTTCCGTGATATGATGACTTATAATGAATTCTACGTCATTTAGTCTCTGGTGGAGAGTTGTCTCTTTGGCAATCATACCACATCTTCTTATTTTCATATTTATTTTGTACATTATCTATTGAAAAAATAGTTCGTCTAATTTCATTAGCGAACACCCTTAAATAAAATTGAAGGATTACAAATTTATTCAATAAAATCTTCTCTGCAGGTACATGAATGCTGGCTAAAAACTTAATGTTAGGAAATGTTATTGACTACTACAAATGTAGGTAGTCCCTTTCGTTAAAGTTTAATTTTTATCACTGTCGAACTAACATTATAAAAAGGAAGATGTTGTATGAACCTGATTTCCAATTAGACGTATAGTCAGCTAGTAAAGACCCCGACATGACAAAACGATTCAAACAAGAAAACCAATGGCTGCTTTACTATAAATAAAATTATCTGCAAAATATATTTACAAAATGTAAAAATGGCTTATTCAAACTTTTTTTAACAAGAATTGTGCATGAATTGGAAAATACCAGTTGTCAACTAATTTTCGATTTACCGTCAGCAGAATTATTCGAATAATAAATATCAAGACTTGATGGCTTTCAATTTAATTTTGACATTTTAACACTTTCCTCAATTAAAAGGTTTGCTAGATAATGCCTTAACATCAAATATATTGTCTGCTTTTATTTCGGTCTTGGCATGCTGAATTTTTTTTAGCTAACACATTGACGAGGAAAAGTCTTTTTTTTTACATTGACATTTTTTCAAACTTCGACAATAAATGTAGCTCCGCAGAAGTTGATTATACAAGCAGGTATGGTTAAAATTACATTAAGATTTATCTTATTTCTTAACTAATTGTTAAATCATGTATGTTTAACAAAAAGTTTGAAAGAAAACTGTAAAGTATAACTGAATAACATCAGTAAATAAGATTTCATAAACAGATTGAAACTACATTACTTAAAATGTATATCATTCAAACATTAATCATATCTAAAATTTAAAAAAGGGGGCCATAGTATTAGTACTTTATCTTCATTTGATTTTAGTCATGCTGAACACTTTTATTTGCAATTTAAAAGTAAGTTGAGCTCCAACCCAGCATAAATGTTTTCAATTGTATTAACACGTTTCTCCCTGAAACATTAATAATTTGGAATATTAAAGACAGGCATTCATTTAGTCATTTGAATTTTTTTTTTTAATGTTTAGATTTTAGTTACAACAAAATACAATTTATATATCTCAGTTTGAATAGTACTGCTGTCAAAATCTACCAAAATCTTTCTGTCAAGCTTTCTTTTCACATCACTTTGCATTTGTAAAATCAGAATCTCATTTAACTGCTAGCATGTCCACGACCAGGAACAAAGCTGTCGTTACTGTGTAAATAGATACAATGTTGTTACAAAACAAACATTAGTTGTCGTTTGTTGATGTGGTTCATAAGTGTTTCTCGTTTCTCGTTTTTTATATAGATTAGACCGTTGGTTTTCCCGTTTTGAATGGTTTTACACTAGTATTTTTTGGGGCCCTTTATAGCTTACTGTTCGGTGTGAGCCAAGGCTCCGTGTTGAAGACCGTACTGTGACCTATAATGGTTTACTTTTATAAATTTTGACTTGGATGGAGAGTTGTCTCATTGGTACTCATTCCACATCTTCTTTTATCTATTAACGTTTTTTTATATAAAATGTTCACTTATTGTATAAGGCTATCGAAGACGGACTTAATGATATAGTATATCGTTATTTGTCTGATTGGACAACTCTCTAAATAACTCAACAATACTTTTAAAGGGATAACAGGAATTTCCAAAAATACTGCACAATACAACAGACAGACAGACAACAACAAACAACACATGGTCCAGATAGCCTGTCTCTCATTAAACTGATACAGACACACCATGTGGTTAAACCAGTTTTACGTGCGCACAAAAATCCCTCTGTGTCTATCAAGACCTTATGTAACACAAAAAAGTTCAATATAAACCTGCAAAGTGCAGCTACAAACAGGATGACCGCTTCAACCAAAAAATGTAAAAACGGCATATATTTGAGAAAACAAGGACAAATTGTGATCTTTTACTGCAGGAAGCTAGCTAATGTACACATGTTGTTTGGACACTGCCACTCACAATAACACGAAAATCATGACCAACACTTCAAACAGGTTTCATGAAGATTCATCGTAAAATTCAATTGAAATCTGCAGTTATTTCAGTGGCCAGTAAGTATTGAAAGAAAAAGGAATTTAATTGTTAAAACTAAGCAATTTTGTCATACTGGTCATATGCGTGGGGATAACTCAAAAATGTTTTCATTAAAACACATATTTGTTTTATACCACTGATGAAATTAAGGTTCCTTCATTTTGACGATTTCCAGATTAGTCGATTCAGATTAATTTTAATATTTTATATATGTTTCACGATATTTTAAGAACGAGTTTAATGTTTACACATCGTTATATTCATTCCTACAAATGTATACTCTCATTGATTGGAGGACGAGTGCGTCATCTGCTCCTTGCGCAACAACAATTGTAAAACACATTTTAAAAAAAATTGTTTTACAACAATTTATAAAAAAGAATTGTGTAGTACGTTGTTAAAGAATAAATGGAAGACATGGTGCATACTTTAAGTCGAAAATTTAAAAAATAACATACACTAAACCTCCCCAACACCTATTATTTTGGGGTTTTGGAAACACCTGTCCCAAAGGTTTTACTTTATATTTGGAGTGAAAATACGGGTAAATCAAGAAAATCCATTCAGACGCAAGAAATTTATAAAATGTTATCTTCATTTAGCAATAATAATTACTTTTTTGGGCCTACCAAGACTTTTTAGGCTAATAGAATCTTTGTAGAAAGTATTTGTAGAAAAAACCCTCTGATCAACAAAGGATATATTAGTAATCTTGAACATTGTTATGACATTTTGCAAGAAAAACCAGTACCACCTTAAAATCTTGATATATATAATTGTTTTTTTGTAACTAAAATTAGGTGAAATTGAAAAAAATTGCGGCCGTGCAAATTGCAGAAAAATAATAGTGGTTCTCACCTTTTCCTTAAATTTTCTACAAAAGTTTTATATTTTTACATTTTTTTCATAGGTTCAAAAATTAAACCAAATTCCTATAAACTTTATATCAATTAAACTGAAAATTCAGTAACAATGCTATATCTTATAAACGCAATAAAGTGCTTTTGAAAAAAAAGTGTTGATCCTTTTGTCGATGTTTATATATTTTCAAATTTTAGTCGCAGTCTTTTTTCACCATATCTCAAGAAGTATAAACGTTATACATATATCAGAAATATATAAATAAATTTCCAAATAACATTTTGGGAGTCAAAATTGCTAAATTCCTACCCCAAAAAAGTGTATCGACTTTCCAAAACAGGAATTATAAGCTTCAAAAGAAATTTACAGATATATAAAGATACTTTTGTGCGTTTTCATTGATATTTTCTAGGCTTCAAAACTCGACACAAATCATTTGACAGAAGGTATCCCATTAGGTCATATTGTCCATTTTCTTTAGCAAATTTAACTTTTTAAATGTTTATACTCTAATTTATTCAAACGTTGTCCCTACCCCTACCAATGTAGAGCTTGCTGTATGCAAAAGATATTTGGACTCAATTGCACAACTTGAGAAAAGTATTACATTCATTGTATGTGTATTTATCTCTTAATATTCATTTAAAAATGATTGGACCAGGAGGGACTATCAGTTATACTTTTAGAAGGTAGTTGTATTTTGCACTACTATAAGCACATCGTCTAACGGGATCCTACCAAGACGTTTAAGTCTTGTGGAAAAATCTCCAAGCACCGAATCCCCATTAGGTACCTGAATGCGTAATTTTTTGCATTTCAATGAACTTTGTATGCGAATATATTAACGAGTGAAATTTCATAAAAATCTTGAGAAATATAGAACTATCCTTACTGACAAAAAATGAAAGGCAAATTATGGGATAAAGGTGACGGACTGAGTATAAAAGAAAACTTCACTTATTTATTTATTTTAAAAAGGGCTTTCAAAACTCAGCAGCAATTATTTGATTGCAGTTAACCAAAAGATTCCTAAAATGAGCTAATTGTTAAGATGCTAAAAAGCTGTTTCACTGTAACGCGGTATGAGAGTACATGTTGACTGTCATGTCAGAACGGTATTTGGTTAATGAAACAAAAATAACAATGACAGCATAACCGACCAACGATCACATTATAGCCCAGACTCTATATGCACAGTTTTTTTTTAAGAGAAAGATACATTCATATGCTAATTTTAAACTATTACTTGGCTGTCCAATGTATCGCCGACGTGGTTTTTGTATATATATTCGTGTGCAAATGACGGAAACTACCGAATCAGTTCGTGTCATTTCAACACAGAAAACGTCGCCTTCTAGCTTTTATTGACCCTAAATGACAACAATTTCAATTGTATTCTAATGTAAGTACCACTTTTTTATTATTATTTAACAATTGCAATTTTGTAAGTATGCAGCAACTTAAAGGGAAGGAATCGTGGTAAAACTTTATATTACTTCTATCTTTTATTAAATATGTCAATAAAATGGCTTCCCATGAATATAGTTTGCAGTGGTCTCATTGTATACATAGTTAACTTTATGCATTTTTTTTTTTGCTCAGGAAAAAGTAATAGCAGGGAAAATGCTTTGATTATATTTGAATAATAAGTGAATATTTTTCGTTTATTTTATTTTGATAAACCTCAATGTTTTTCAGGGGTGTTTTACAAAAAAATAGTAGACAAGTGAAAAGAAATTCTTATAGAGTAAATTGTCAACATTTAAAATTCAAAACTTTGTTCGAAGCTTACATGATTAAATAGGATATGCTGACAAGGAAATATGGCATCCTCATTATAATATAAACCAATGACCGTCATTAAGTACATATTAATTGGGATAATATATATTATTGGCCTCAAACTATTTTAATAATTAAATTAAAATTCATGAAAAAATACCAGCAGTATTACTTTTTTTTTATTTTGTTACTTGGTTAAATGTGTTACATTGTCGCGATATTTTTATTTAATTTTGTCTGACATATCTTTTTGAGATATTTATCTTTTGAATGAAATAATTAAACGACTTTTGAATAGCAGGAAAATATGCAACTTTTCATAATAAAAAAAATATAAAATTATAAATGTCACAGTATATAAAACTTAAAATCTAGAATACTTACAAAAAGGATGTATTCATTGAAAATCCGAAGCAGTGAGCTATAAATGTTGAGCTTTGAAAATATTCTTTACTGAAATATTAATCGTGTAAATTAAAATCCCGAAGACGAATATAGGCAGATGTAACTATTTACAATTCGAAAACTTCGTTGTTCGAATTGACAAAATCGATAGTGGAGACAAACCACTGTGACAGTTGACAGAACTTTATATTTTCAAAAAGTATGACGCTATAAATTCCGAGAACAAAGATTATTTATGTGTTGTGAAAACAAAAATAAACCGCATTCAATATTAGTACTATTTAATCATATGTCCCACGAGCTTTCGTTTTTAAATGAAACGATATAACAAAAAATTTAATATTCCGCGAAATGTACATTTTTTCAGATGATTTTTATAAGATTCATTTTTATGTCATTATGGGCAAACCTAATTCCTATACTTTCAGTTTGTAAGAAATTCTTTATAAGAATTCAATAATACTTAGAACTATAAGTATATATGAAACTATTGATGTTGAACAGTATTGATACATTTTGTAATCAATATTTCAATATACAGTAGATCTTGTATCAAATGGTAGATCTTCAAAAGTTGAGGTAGAAATGTTTAGTTTTTTCCTCAGCTGGATTTGAATCCCTGCTTCTATCACTTTCTTGCAACGCCGCCTGTTCTGTGCCCAGCGCCCTACATATTAAGTTTCATTGTTGAAAGATTTTTTTTTAAAATGTTTTCTGACATTTTGTTTTGAGATGTTAATCTCTGGAATGGTATCATTAACCGATTTTTTTCAGGAAGAACTGTAGAATAAATTGAAGGTATGTTACTGTTCATATCTTAAAATTCTAAAATTATTAATTTTACAGTATAATAAACTTTAAACGTAGAATACTTACAACACATATGCTTTCATTTACATCAAGATATAAATATTGAGCTTCACAATAATTGTTTACTGAATAACTACGAAGAAAGTGCATATTCCAGAATGTAACTGTAAGAAATGGTAGAATTGATATTTGAGATAACCTGCAGTTGACAGAACTTTGTATTTTCTAAAAGTTGAACGCTGTAAATTCCGAGAACAAATATTGTTTATCTGTTGAAAATAAAGAAATTAACCGCATTATATAATAATAAATACTAATATTTTCCCCAGCTTTCGTTTTTTTTAATGAAACGAAATTACATGAAATGTAATATTCCGCGAAATGTACATCTGTTAAGATCATTTCTTTAAAAAGTATTTTTAGTCATTACGGACATTACTAATATCTATACTTTCAGTTTGCAAGATATTTTATACTTTATAAGAATCCGTTGATACTTAGAAGTATTCGTATATAGTTGAACGCTATCAATACATTCTAGAATCAATAGTTCAAATGAAACATGATATGTACTCTTTAAATGTAAAATGAATAGCATTATGGATAGAAAGATTCATTTAACTATTATTTGCAAATGTTTAAACTTCCCAAGTATACACTTCTTTTTGTTTTCTTATTTTCCCGTGTAAGCCAAAGTTGCCGTTTCGTCAATAGATACTTGACGGAGTATATAGAACAATTCTGGACGAACACTATTCATAAAGTTTGGTAAGTTCTCATTGATGATTCTGTTCCATGAGACACTTTTTCATATATATTTATATATACTTTGTCTTAAATTTAACTCACCAATGTTAGATCTGCAAAATTTGAAGTAGCAAATTTTAGTTCTTTTCTCAGTGGGATTTGAACCAATGCTACTATGATATCCTCGCAACACCGCCTGCACCGTTTCCAGCGCCAAAGACCACTCGGCAAAACTGGCTTTATAAAATATAGCTTTTGATAGTCGAGAAATGCTTTTCATCGTCGGCTTAATCTATGGTTGTAAGACAACATTTTTTGCTCCAACTACTAAGATTGAACGATGATGTTAATTAAAACACGGTTAGAAAGGTCTAAATATAGATAAGATGAGTTTTGTGTAGATGTTTTTAGATATTTCCATTTGGTCAATTACGTCCTTTTTGAGCATTTATATATAAAAACTTATAATATATGTTTAGATAAAGCCAGTTCAGTATATGTTTGTTGTTGTATTAAGCGAAGTAAATGTCGTCTGCTGAAAAAAACTTTTATTTCGACAGAAGAGATCTTAATGGATTACGATCCGTGACCTATCAGTGCCGTTTTTTTTCGCTAAGACAATTTCTCCATATTGACCAAGCCTTTACATTTCTATATAATGACTTTGTTTGTTTTTTTTATATGAAAATTGCATGTTTAGTTCAAAATCACTTTAGTGATATAATTGTATTTTACATATAACCTTCCATCCTCTACTGAAACATAAACACTGCATCTATATTCATTTGGATCACCACCACTCATTTCATTTGAGTTCACCACGCTTAAATGGCTCGTGTTGGCTATTGTAGCATAGTCTTAACACTTCTTTGAGACCACTGAGGGAATTGGAGGAGGCAAACTTAACTAGATGTGACCAAATTAATAGGTACTTCATAGGCGGATCTAGGGGGGGGGCCTGGGGGGTCCGCCCCCCCCCCCCTTTCGTGGGAAAAATTTGGTTGATTATATAGGGAATCACTGAAGCGTGACTGGAGCGGGCGCCCCCCCCCTTAGGTCAGTCAGCGGGCGCCCCCCCCCCCCCCCCCCCCCCCCCTTTTACAAAAAGTTCTGGATCCGCCACTGTACTTTTTAATATGCGTATGACTCATTTGAAGTACACGTAATTAAGAATTTTTTATATTTTTGTAATATTAACAACACAATTTTGAATGAACTTCTTAAAATGTCACCTTAGTTATGTTATTAATGTTTTTATTCACGGAGAGTTCAATTTTGTTTTTTCTTACTAGACGTGTTAATATTGCTTCCCTGGTAGTAAAAATACACACCTATTAATGTAGGACATTTCTAAGTATACGAAGAGTTAAATATAACATAAGAACAATATAGATACATAATCTGCATTCTTAAAAATTCTGCATTCTTATTCTAAAAAATAAAGCAGATAATCAGTTCGCATTTTTTATTCCACGTGTATGTTTAAGGCTTTTTTCTGAGTGTTTCATTTACACATTGAAATTATTGTTATCCGGAATGGTTAGACATGGAAATCCAAAGTTATATATTTGCAAAACAAAAGTGTATGTATTCTTTTTAATTTTAAAAATGACCAGTAATCAAGTGTTTTAAGTGATAAGTAGGAACTACTTCATTTCTGAGTACATTGTCTACATTTTACTTAATTTCTGTACTTAAATGTCAAACAACTGTTAATATAACTTTTCTGAATTAATTTATCCTGTGCTAAAATTGACAAAAATACAGCAGGAAAGTCTTTTTGGATTTTAAAAACTCGGGCGTCTATATATTTTCGATTTCAAGGTAATTCTCGTTTATGCTTTCTTATGAAAAGAAAATGATACCTTTCAAGTATGAAACTTTATATTTCTGATGATTTATTCTTACAATAGATTATACTGTGAATTTATAAATTTCGTAGTAAAAAAAAACAACACCAAACGAGAACATGACCCTCTTGGGGTTTTCTACTTCCTTAATGTAGTCTATAAAACATTCTGCTGAAGGTTATTAGAGAATTGTTTGCACAGATTTTCTGTCCTTATATCCCCCCCCCCCCCCCCCTGTATAATTCTTTGCAAATGTGGTAATAACACAAAATAAGGTCTGTTGTACTTTTCGATAGTATAGCATTTATTTTTATCAAATAAAAAATCATTCAAGTTTTTACTTTGGAATTCCTAGACTACTTTAGGAGGAAATTTATGCTAATTTCCCGCAAAGTAAAAATAGTCTCTACATACAAAAATAGACTTTTATTAATACATGGGATTTTTTTCATATGTGATTGACTTATCAGTTTAGTATTCGAAATGAGAAAATACATGTACAATCAGATTTAAATGTCTGATTGGTAATTCAATTATCTTTTTGAATTAATCAACATTCCGAAAGAAATTCCCCATAATTTTCCTGTAAGTTGAAGCTGAAAATTCCTATGTCTGACTAATTAACTAGAACTTTGCATATATAATTATTTATTCGCAATGTTACGAATTTTTTAAAAGCGGATTATTGAAGAAGCAGATGTACGTCATTTAAATAATTTAAATGTTTCCAATATAAACTTTTATGAATATTTTTGGACAGCAATGAAATATTTCAACACATTTGATAATAGATTGTAAAAGATATAAACCCACATTTGACATTAAGCATATTTTTCAAGAAGGAAAACCATTCATATTTAGGGGCCAGCTGAAGGACGCCTCCGGGTGCGGGAATTTCTCGCTGCATTGAAGACCTGTTGGTGACCTTCTGCTGTTGTCTGTTCTATGGTCGGGTTGTTGTCTCTTTGACACATTCCCCATTTCCATTCTCAATTTTATATGCAAAAAATGAAATAGAAAACATTCTGAAATATCTTACTAAGCATTCAAATACAAATTGAATTAACCCTAAAAAAAAATACTGTAAACCAACTTATTCTTGCGAATACTTTTTCGTGTTTATCCATTCCTAACCGATTTCGCGACAAGTTATGTTTTGCTATTTCCTAACTAAGTTGATGCATTCATCATATAAGAGAAGATTCTGGTTTGATATTTTCGCGACGATTAATATTCGCATTAGTTTGCTTGTCGCAAAAGTCCAGAAATTAAATCGCTCGCCAAAATAAGTCGGTTTACGCTCGAAATCATTTTCTCTCAGCAATTGTGATGAAACGAACACTGCATTGTATTTTATTATGATCTCTGAATGCATATGTATTGAATGGGGGAATTTTTTAATATAATTTTCTTTTATATTTTAATGCATTCACCCTTTTAGCTATAATGTCTTTGCAATGTGAGAAAGATTGCTTAAGAAGTGCAAGACTCATCTTATATACATAAGCCTAGTTGATAAAAGGCAACAGTAATTTACCGATGTTGATTAATCCATTTAAAACACACAAAAAAGGTCATGTCTGTCATATTCGTTTTTCGTAAATTGTTTTGTTATAAATTAGGCCGTTAGTTTTCTCAATTGAATTGATTCATATTTTTCATGTCGGGGCTTTTTATAGCCGACTATGCGATATGAGTCTTCTTCATTGTTGAAGGCCGTACGGATGCCTATAATTGCTTACATCCACTTCATTTGAACTTTGGTGGATAGTTGTCTCATTTGCAATCATACCACATCTCCTTATTTTTATATTAAACCAAAAATGAAGGAATCGCAAAATGAAGGAACTCCCAAAAAATAGAGAGACCCTTTTGTTAAATATTAATGATGAACGAAGCTGAACAAATATTTCTACATCCTTGTTTTTTTTCAATTTTTTTGCTTTGAAGCATGGTGAAGTTAAATCCAGAAAAACGTTTTCGACGCAACAGATCCATAAAGTGTTATTTTTATGTAAAAAATATTTAACAAAATTAATTTCTTGGGCAATATTGCAGAATAAAAAATGATATATGTGCGTCTACATCAGAACCAGTATTTCATATCTTTTTGTGGTGGCCTCTGTTTAAAGACTGACTTTGTAACAATACATAATCATCTGTCTACTGCTTTGTTCCATTATACGATATATAGACTGTCTAAAGATTGAGACACAAATAGAGCAAAAAATAAATCATTCGTCGTCTGCCTCATTTTAGGGTTAATGCGAATACCTCGGTAGCTTTTATTTAGCTTATATATTCAAAATGGATATGTTAAGCAAAAAGCAACAGTAATTTACCTGTGTAGTTAACTTGACCTATACTCGATATTGAGACAAATGGACGACATGAAACTAGAATCTGTAACGTCAAACGTGATGATTTCCAATTGTCTACTTCCCATTTATTTCTCAGCAGTAACATATCCTGTGTTCCACATTTTTGTGTGAGGAGCACCTATAATACGGAGCTTATAACACGTTACACGTTTATTCCGGCTATTTTTATATTGAGAATCATCCGGGTGATATATCGCATACTGTACAGGGAAACGTATCGATGATTATATTGTGCTGTGAAATCATGAATATCAGGAGATACTTTTGAGAAAACAATAAAATATTTATTTCATTAAAATGAATTGCAACAACACTTCGTAATGAAAATAATAGACAACCTATCAAGTTGAGTGGAATAGAGCAATTTCATTTCAGGTTTTTTTAATGTGTTGTTTCGTTTTCATTAGATATGAAACGAATTGGTTGACCGTTATGGTTTATCCGTTTCACAGATGACAACGGAT